CTTCTCCCTCTCCCACTCCCCCTGCTTGTGTTCCCTCTCTCGCTGTGTCTCTCTCTGTCAAATAAATAAATAAAAATCTTAAAAAAAAAAAAGAAAGAAAGAAAAAAGATCAAGGCACTCTTTTAAGGAGGTGTGCCCTTGTTTCTTCAAGTATGCAATTAATTCCTGAAAAGCAGGGAGTCTGACTTCTATTTTTATGTCCCTCAACTCTTTGCAGTGCTATATGAATAAAACAAATTCCAATAAATAAATCCCAAGGAGGGCACAGCATGGTCAGACCACGTTGAGTGGATACCTGATCATTTTAAACAGGGATCATAGACACCTGAAGGGGAAGGGGGGCTCTGCCCAACTCAAAAAGATTCCCCACCCCTAGAACTGCTGTCCAGCCTCCAGGCCACCCAGCCTTCCATAATTAGACCAGGGTGGACACCTGACACCAGCCGGCCCATCATTTCCCTTCTCCCGAAATTCCAGACAGGGCAGGGAGACTGCCAGCCCATCTCAGCAGCAAATGATTGGCACTCTGACCGACAAGGTAGAGTTGCTGGGGACCCTTCTCCCCACAGTGCGGCTGCGGAATCTGAAAGAGACGGGGTGGGGGGGGAAGGGGAGGGGGGACGACGACGACGACACACGCACAGAGACACAAAAGATGAAGAAACTGCATCTTCGGCCAGATTCAGATGCAACACTCCCCTCGGGGTCTGCTCAAGGGGAGCACCCTGTTTGGAGCAAGCTGGCTCAAGCTGCACCCAGAGAATCTCGCCAGAACAGAAGGGGCCTGCTTTCCAAGTCTCAGAGCAAGGTCCATGGCCCCTGGGCAAGCACTGGGGCTCAGTGATTTTTCCTGGAGCGATGAAAACACACCCTGGCTCTGAGAGCTTTAGGAAGAACCCCCTGCAAGGCTACGGGATGGGACGGTCACTTATTCATTCATCGGGCCATCCATCCGACGGCCCTCCTATACACAGCCCTAAGGACAGCGCACAGGGACGACACGACGGGGCCTCGGAACACGCCCGCGTCGGGAGGCCGGCCGTGGAGCCCTCTGCACACAGGGTCCGGGTCAGGGAAGGATTCCCGCCCCGAGTTCCCGTCCGGAGTCCGAACCCCGAGCCCCGGCCGCGCAGCACGACTCTGCGGGCCACGCCCCTATAGGCCACGCCCTCCGGTCTGGCCACGCCCGCCGCGCGGCCACCCCACGCCCGCCGCCGCAGCTCGCCCCTCCCCGCGCTGTCCGGTACCTGCTCGGGCGCCGGCGCTCGGCCGCCCCGCTGCCCTCGGGAGCCTTGGGCGCGCCCCTCCGCTGAGGCGCCATCGGGCCAGGCCTCTGCGGAACCGGGCGGAACGCGGGAGCCGCCCGAGCCCGGGACGAGCGCCGCGAGAGGTTGCGCGAGGCCGGCGCTGCCGGGGACGCAGAGCGACGCACTCGACCGTCGACCCCGGGTCTGGCGGCCAGGCCCGAGCAATCGGAGGCCGAGCGCCGAGCCGGGCGGGGCGGAGCGCGGACCTGGGCGCGCACTCTGCAGGGCACCGCGCCGCCCGCGCGCCCCTCGCCCGCCCCTCCGCCCTCGGAACTCGCCGAGCTTCGGAACCTGCGGTCTGAAGTGCGTCCTCTCCCGCAGTGTGCGCCCTCTTCCCGGGGTCTCTGGTCCCTCCTCCTCAGGGCCCTCCTCCGAGGTCTCCAAGTCGTCCCCTCCTCCCGGGGTCTCAGGACCCCCATCCCCAGGTCTCAGGGCTCTTCTTGGGGGGTCGCCAGGCTCCTCTCCTGGAGTCTCTGCGCCCTTCTCTGTGGTCTCCAAGCCCTTATCCCAGGGTCTGTTTGCTTCGCTGGGGTCTGCACCACACCTGGGGGTGCTGGGACCAGCTGGTGCTCAGTACACGCCTGTCTCCCGAAGGCCCCGCTGCTTGTTGATAGCTTTCCGTTTCCCTACAGAACCGTCCGTCCTGTGCTTGGGAAGTAAACTCTTAACCGGCCGTGTCAGGACACCTGAGACTGAAGGGGTGAACAGTGAGGTGCATCCGTGAGGAGTGAGCCTGAAGAAGGTGAGTAACTTACTGATGATACAGGGAAAAGAAAGTGTTCATGCGATCGTCGGACTGAAGAGGTCTGCCCAGCATTCCTGGCACAGGGGAGACCAGTGCGGGTCATCGCCTTCAGGGGCTCTTGGCCTCACCCGAAGCCCTGAGCAGTCAGCGCCGAGTGCAGACGCCCGTTCATCTGATAAGTAGTGACCTTCCACCCAGGTGTTCGGAATAAGCTCATCTCTGTAGACTTCCTGCAGGAGGGAATCGAGCAAAGAGATTAGCACACTCATAACAAGGTGAAACAGGGACTTCTCTGGTTCTTTTCCTTTAGATTTTGCGGAGACTTAACGCTGTTAAGCCAGTGTGTCTGCCACAGGTAAGATGTCAGCATCCCGCTTAGCCCAGCGATGCAGCCGCGGGAGCAGGTTTCTCTCTGAATATGAGGGGGTGTTCACACCACCAGTGCACACTTCTCAGCTTGGAAGTGTTTGAGTCTAGTCCCTGGAAAATAGATTTGGCTTGTAAGATTTTTAAACAATTCAGCTTTTTTTTTTTTTTTAAGATTTTATTTATTTATTTGACAGAGAGAGAGAAAGAAATCACAAGTAGGCAGACAGAGGGAGAGGGAGAAGCAGGCTTCCCGCTGAGCACAGAGCCCGATGTGGGGCTCGATCCCATGACCCTGGGATCATGACCTGAGCCGAAGGCAGATGCTTAACCATCTGAGCCACCCAGGCGTCCCTAAATAATTCAGCTTTAAAAGCAGTTTTCAGAATGCGTTTTCACAAAACTCATGCACCCATCAGCTGGTAATTTAGGTAATTGCCTTGAGAATTTTGTCATTGAGATTGTTTTGAATATAATTTCTTAAAAAAAAAAAAAAAAACTGGTTTCTGTGTGCGTCTATTTTATCTTCCCTGCTTTATAATAGACTTCTTAAGGTCAGGGATTTATGAGTCCTCACACAGAATGAGTAGTTTGAATTACTGAGCTGTAAACGTGACCAATATGCAAAGATTTTCTTTCACTTTTCTCATCCTATCCTTTGTGTTTTTATAATAGCTAGAGGGGGGGGAAAAAAAAAGATTGCACTCTTTCCCAGCTGCCTCACTGTCATCCAGACACTTCCTTTACTTTAATAGAAGCTAGTTAGCCCTGATGTACTCGTGGCTCATTTGCTTTTCAAATTATCAGCGGTCTGTTTTAAATCCTAGACAGTTTTCTCTGACTTAGACTAAATTTTTAGTTTCTTTTTCCGTACAACCAAGCTGATTTGAGCTCTAGAAATGTAAAGTATTTTTACTGCTCTTGAAAGTAAAATAAAATTAAGGATAAATTTTCTACAGAAACATTGTAAGGCGTGAAAGATGTTTATATATATCTGCCTGTTTTCGCTAGCATAGTATGCACAACTTAAGACAGTCTTTAAAACAAAATTATTTTGCAGTCATTTGTGTTATTATAGATCATAGCCATCTTATGAGGAAACCAGTGCTATTCTATTTTAGGGGCAAATAATAATTAAATGGCAGAGGTCCCTCTATTTGAACACTATTTGAACATGAGGTAGACTCCTTGATTCATTTTCATGTTGGTGAAATGAGTTTTCCTCCCAGTGAATAAAGCAAACCTGGGCGTGTGGGAATGGAAACAGAGTGGAAGGGCAAGGGCTAAAAGGGGCCTCTGCCCATTTATAACTTTGAATTTCTCCACTAGGAAGAAGTGCCCAGACAAGAGATTTTTGTTATATGACTTCATGAAAAATAGTGAAATGTCAGGTTCTTCACCATTTAAGATGCGATTAGTTCATTTGGACCTTAAAGGAGCTCCACCAAAGGTTTCCTACCTCTCTGAGGTAAGAGCCCCTTTCCCTCTAGATGATCTCCCTTGCCTTGGGTTTGGTCTTCAAAGCTGTGAACAGTATTCTGTAGAAATGTGTGCTTAGAGTGCAACCCTGGGGTTCTAGGCAGGGGCATGATGTTGGCGGCAGCATAGATTTTGAGTTTACCCCCAAATCCCTTCATAAAACAGAGCAGTTGCAAAAGGATAGCAAAAGGAGGCAGGGGGAGGGGGGAACACAACAAAGGAGACCCACAGCCTCTTTGTTGTGGGCTGAATTGTGTCTCCCAAAAAGATAATGTTCAAATCTTAGCTACTCGTACCTATGAATGTAACCTCAGTTGGAAACAGAGTCTTTGCAATTATAATCAACATAAGATGAGGCTGTATTGGAGTAGGATAGTCCTAATCCAGTGAGTGATGTCCTTATAAGAAGAGGGAATTTTAGGGGCACTTGGCTGACTCAGTTGGTTAAGCGTCTGCCTTTGGCTCGGGTCATGATCTCAGAGTCCTGGGATCAAGTCCCACAGAGCAGGGAGCCCGCTTCTCCCTCTGCCTGCCGCTCCCCCTGCTTGTGCTCACTCTCTCTCTCTGTCAAATAAATAAATAAAATCTTAAAAAAAAAAAGGAGAGGGATATTTATTTATTTATTTTAAGATTTTATTTATTTGACAGAGAGACAGCAAGAGAGGGAACACAAGTAGGGGGAGTGGGAGAGGGAGAAGCAGGCTTCCCGCTGAGCAGGGAGCCCGACGCGGGGCTTGATCCCAGGACCCTGGGACCATGACCCGAAGGCAGACGCTTAACAACTGAGCCACCCAGGCGCCCCAGGAGAGGGATATTTAGACGCGGGGGGGCACCTGTGGGGACAGAGGCAGAGATTGGAGGGATGCATCTACAAGCCAAGGAATGCCAGGACTGCCAGCAACACCAGAAGCTAGAAGAGGCAAGGAAGGGTTCTTCCCTGGAGCCTTCAGAGAGAGCACTGCCCTGCCCACACCCCGATATTTTTATTTCTGACCCTAGACCTGGAAGAGAATAAATTCTCATTGTATTAAGCCACCCAGTTTGTGGTAATTTGTTACAGCAGCCCTGGAAAACCAGTACACTCTTCGAGGTAGGTATGCAGGTATCCCCGTGAATCCCCAAATGCGAGTGGTACAGCATACCACCCACGTGGGATTAGGTGCCAGGCAGGAGGTGATGGAGGAGGGAGGAAGGAGTTCTGACAGGGCCAAGACCAGAAGACAGAAAACAGGCCCACAAACACAGGTCCTCTGTCGAGAGGAATGGGGGAGAGGTTTCACTGGCGGCAGTTTGAGAGTGAGTGCAAAAAGACTCAGAAGAAGATGCTGGAGAGGCCTAAGGCTCTCAGAAATACCTTTGGAAACTTCTAGAAAGACCGAGCCCCACATTAAGAACACAGTGTTGAGAGAATCCATGGGGAACTGGACAGGAACATTGGAAGTAAAGCAGAGAAAAGGTTCTAATACGGGGAGCAGGGATGCGGAGGAAGGAGAGGGAGCCTGTGGCCAAAAAAACAGACTAAAGCAGAAGAACAGAAGTGAGCAGACGCCGTGGAAAGCATACTGTTGGGAAATAAATAAGGAGAAAGAGAATGTCACACGTGAAGAGATAAAAAGCATTCTGACAAATGCAAAGAAGGTCCAACTCGCCTGCACCTGGAGCCCCCTCAGCTCTCTGCTGCTGGGGGGCCAACCGCCCCAAACTTTGAGGCTTAAGACAGCAATTCACCATTCCTTCTGTTTCCATGGGCTGGTGGGTGGTTCTGCTGGTCCACCCTGGGCTCCCTCCGCTGTTGGCAGTCTCCTGAGAACTAGGAACACCTGATGGTCCAAGATGGCCTCACATGTCCAGCAGTCAGTGCTGGCTGTCCACTGGACACCTGGGTTCTAGTCCTCCTTGTGGGCGCCTGTCCTCTCAGAGGCTAGGCCAGCCTCTCTCAGCGTGGCCGTCACACGACAGTGCTTTGAGAGCATGGGAGCCAAAGCCGCAAGCCTTCCTGGGCCTAGTGCTCCTCTTGGAAAGCAAGTCTAAAGTCAGCCCAGATTCAAGACTGTGAATAGACACCACCTCTTGATGAGGAAGGCACTGTATCGTAGGCTTGTTTTCAGTTTGCAACAGTCCCCCAAGAAGAGAACCAAAGCAATGCTGTAGGACAAATGCTCAGAAACTACAGAAACACTGTCCTGAAATTTAAGAATACTTGGATCTGCATGTTGAGAGGGCATACCTGGGGCGCCTGGGTGGCTCGGTCGGTTGAGCGTCTGACTCTTGGTTTCAGCTCAGATCATGATCTCATGGGTTGTGGGATCAAGCCTGGAGTCAGTCTCCAAACTCTGGGCAGGGGGGTTGCTTGAGACCCTCTCCCTCTGCCCCTTCCCCCACTCATGTGCTCTCTCACTCTCTCCCTCAAATAAGAAATAAATTTTAAAAAAAGAAAGAAAAGGCATACCATATATCAAAGATGATAGACGCTAAGTAAATCTTTTAGTAAATGTATGAGACTTCAAAGAAAATGAAAATGAACAACTCTTGGGCACACAGGAAAAAGGTACAAGTTCTGTATGAGGGAAGGATAATTAGATCAGCATCAGATACTTTGATGGCAGCATTTTATGACCGAAGACGAGGGAGTCACGTATTTAAGATACTGAAGGATTTTGTATCCAACCAAATTGACCTTCGGGTGTGAAAGCCACAGGCCAGCTATTGTGAACATCCAAGAAGTGAGTGAATTTACTGAAGAACAAGCACCAGCTGCTGCAGCATCACACCTGGAGTAACCAAATAATTGCTGAGAGTAAATTCCTCCTTAAGGAAGCATCCCAGCCAACACATAATTGGAGAGTCACCTCCGTGCAGCTCCTGTTCAGTGCACGGGGTGCGAATGTCAGCGGCGGCTGAAACCGTTAGGCAGAAGTGCAAGGCATGGGTCTGGCTGATGCCCCTCATCACTCCGGCGGGGCAGGCAGACTTGTGACTTCTAGAACCATCTGTGAAGTATTCTTGCCAAAAGAATGACACCTGGATCCAATCACCCCTTCATGTCTAACCACCAGCACGCACAAGAGTAGGAAATAGGCAAACATGCTACAGGACATCTTGAGAATACCACCCATCCAAAATTTGGAAAATCATACAAAACAAGTGACTTGGTTTCTTCAACAAATAAATTCCAAATTAAAAAAGCAGAAGGGACTATTAAAAATCAGAGAACCTTAAAAGATCCATTCAAACAATGCAGTGTATGGACCTTCACTGGGCTGGGTTCAAACAAGCCACATGTGAAAAGATTTTAAACACAGGAAAATTTGAGCACGGATGATATTAAAGATTTGGTTAAGTGGGATAATGGTGTTGTGGTTGTGCTTTTGTAAAAAATCTTCATCAGGGATATATATCGAAGTTTGTATACGTGAACAGTTGTGTTGTCTGGGATTTGCTTAGAAATACTACAGTCAGAAAAGCGGAAAGTAGGGGAAACGATGTCGAGTCTCGACGACAGATGCAAGAGACTCAGCGTATCATGCCCCACGTGTGTGCACGCTTGTGCGGTTTTACAGCGAGGACCCTCTCCATCCCAGCCCCGTGCCTAGCACTGGGCTGGAGTATGTGCTGGGGACAGCTGGGCCGCCCGGCCCCACAGCCTCCTCACCACCCATAGCACAAAGGATCGCCACCGACCCCAGCAGCCAAAGTGCCAAACAGGCTGCAGTGGTCAGATGGCCACACGAGGCTGAGAAGCAAACCAGAAGCAAAAATGCTGAGCAAATGGGAAAATGCCAAGACCATTATGTTGCGTTATCTGCATGCCTGGCCTGCATTAGCTCGCTCCACTCCAGTCTGTCTGCCTCTTTTTGTAATTTGCAGAAAACTACTGATTCTGACTTGTCTACGGCAAAGTTTTAGCCCCAGGCTGTTTCCTTCTTCCATCCAGCTTGCTTCAGAATGTCCCCATACTCCTGGGAAAGGAAAGCTTTGACAGACACGTCAACAGGAGTGTTAAAATCTTGTGGAACCTGCAGTGACCCTTGTCTGGGGAGGGGTTGCTGTTTCGATACCTGCAGGAGGCCCCTCTGGTGGCGTCCATAATGTCTCTTTTCCACCACAGCCTTGACATCGGACTAGAAGAAAATCTCAGTTCTGTATGGTAGACATGGACCAGTCCTGATACTGCTTGAGGATAGGAATTCATATCCTTTGACACAAAGGTAGAGGAGGAAGTGGGGGTGAGCAAGGGGAGGCCCCATGAGCGCAGCCAGGAACAGCCCACTCCCCGCCACACCCTCAGCCCCTCACCGCCTCCTGGCTGAGCCATGAGGCTGAGCCACAGCTCTGTTCCATAGGTACAGACCCACCCTGTGCCGAGTGAACAGGGTGCAGTGTTAGAGTTTGATTTGGTGTAACACAAAGTACACGTTCCAGGTTAAATGTTTCCGAGAGTAATGTGAATGTCAAATATAACCCTTGTCCACAGGCAGGAAGACAGTTCACACGTTGCACGTCTGTCACCTTCCTGCAGATGACTGCTTTCTCATAGCATCCCTGTTCCCCCAGGTCTTTCCTCTGTTCCATGCCTTGGGCGCCAATGGGCTCCTCCTCGAGTATGAAGACATGTTTCCCTACGAGGGCCGCCTCAGGCTGCTGAGAGCCAAGCACGCATACAGGTATCCCCAGCCACGGAGAAGAGATGTGCGGGGCCACCCAGAGGTGTGGGCAGGGCAGGCGAGGGTTTGGCTGTGGTGGGGCGGCCCTCTTCTGGCTTTTAAACTCATGTCTTAGTTATAAAAATAAAATACATTTACTGGAGAGAATTTGAAAACATTTAGGGGAAGGGAGAAGATGGGGGGAGGCGGGGGGGCAAGGGGAGGGGAACGCTGCTTTTAAGGCCACGGTTGGAACCCTCATCAGGAAAGGAAAGATTAAAGGGGGAGGGGTCAGAATCAGTCAAAGCAGATGTGGTGGCCACGAGTGCACCCGCTTGGCTTCAGAGTTATGGTGTCCATGTAAATCAGTAACACCCTAAAAAGAAAATGAGCAAAGGACATGTGGGCTGATTCCCTCCAAAAAATTAAAATGGCCAATAAGCATATGATAGTAACAAAGTGAATTAAAATGAGTGAAATGCCATTTTGGCTATCAAATTGGTGAAGGTTTTTAAAAGGTTGTGATGCTCTGTGTTCACAAGGGTGAGAAAAAGACGTTCAGCTGGTGGGCCACTCTGGAGAGAGGTTCAGCTCTGTGTGAAAACTCCGCAAGGGGTTCGTGCCCCACGGGTGTGTCCAGAGGTTAACACTGCAGTGAGCTTGCTGGAAGTTTCTGTTCTTTTCATGCTGCTCTGTTTTTCTTACGAGACACATGTTTTGTTCATTTGTTTGTTTTTTAAGTGGAAACAATGCTAGGGTACCTGTGAAGCTTGGAAAAGGTCTATTTGAAGTCCATACATTCATAGAACTGGTTAAGAGATAGTCCAAACACACACAGAAACTGGAACTCACCTTCTTCTTGAGATAGACTCGTGTATGAAAGCTGATGCCAGAGCAGGCAGCCAGCCCTTCCCGGGTGTCATCCGCGCCCCCCCAGAGCATTCCCACCCTCAGGTGCGCTCACCGAGGTCGCTAACCCCCAGGGGGATGAGTCCCCCCGCCCCCGCCGTGTAACCTTGATGGTCTTTTAAATTTTTTTTATTAAAGGGGTCACCAGCTCCTCTGTAAAGGGCCAGTCAGTTTTGTTGTGCAGCCTGCCTGGTCTCTGCTGCAGCAATCTGGGGGGGCACGAGCAGCCAGCCATGGACAGTAATGTCAATGAGTGGCCATGGCTGAGTTCCAATAAAACTCTACTTGCGGGCACTGAAATAGGAATTTCATGTAACTTTCACATATCATAAAATATTTTTCTTCTTTTGATTTTTCTCAACCATGTTAAACTGTAGAAACCATTCTTAGGTCATGGGCTGTATGAAAACAGGCAGGTGAATTTGTCCTGAGCCCATCTGCCAACCCCTGTTGTAGAATATGATTCCTTGTATGGCCCAGTTTCTTGTAAAATGACTTCAGCTTCTTTATAGAGTTTGGTAAGAATAACTGGTAAAAACCAAACCATTACTTGAGGACATAGCAGAGCATCATTTTCCCAAATTATAGGGTGGGAGCCCTCTCTGAAACCTTAGGAATATCTTTTGAGCTTTTTGTAAATAGTGACTGTACTAGTTTCCCCAGGAGAATCCCCCCTAGAACCTGACAAGGGAGGGGGAGCATGAACAGGAGTGCAAGCGTGAACAGGGGCTGGAGTGTGAACAGGAGCTGATGTGAACAGGGGCTGGAGTGAATAGGAGCTGGTGTGAATGGGCTGGAGTGTGAACAGGGCCTGGAGTGTGAACAGGGGCTGGTGTGAACAGGGGCTGGAGTGTGAACAGGAGCTGGTGTGAATGGGCTGGAGTGGGAACAGGGCCTGGAGTGGGAACAGGAGCTGGTGTGAACAGGGGCGGGAGTGTGAACAGGGGCTGGTGTGAATGGGCTGGAGTGTGAACAGGGCCTGGAGTGTGAACAGGAGCTGGTGTGAATGGGCTGGAGTGTGAACAGGGCCTGGAGTGGGAATAGGAGCTGGTGTGAACAGG